ACCATGGCGTACATGTACTGCACCTGCTCTTGAAACTGTTGGCCGCCCTCTCCTACTAGAGCTATGAAAGGCTCACCTTGAAAGGGTGGCTCTACTATCTGAGGGTCGCCTACTCTCATGGGAACCACAAAGGGCTCGACCTATGAGGCCGGTTCCACATTCAGTTCACTTCCAAATCTCAGGGGAGCCATACAAAGTTCGATCAATAGTGAGGCTTTGCAGTTCGGGCTAGGAGACAATCTGGGCCAGATCCCTGAAGCTTGCCCCGGCTAGTCGTTCATATTCTACCCCCCTTGTGATGGCTTTGTCGATACGTATATTGCTGTCGGCGTTGGGCGATAGGTCAGTGCCATGGCTACACTACATCAGCCCCTTGGTGACGTTGGTTGTCTACTCCTACGAGAAGCCACAGGGAGCTTGACCTGCGAGGGCAACTCTACTAATTGTAAGTCGTTGACTCACACGAAAGTCTTAGAAGGCTCAACCTGCAAGGGCAACCACAAAATCTGTTGGTTGCCGACTCCCACGGGAGCCACAAAGGGCTCGACCTGTAGAGGTGACCTTGCAAACAGAGCTGATGAGGTTCATCCGGGCTGAATTAAGGTCGGCATAGCTGCTTAGTCTGTTGACCATCAACTCCCCCGAGAACCATGAAGGGCTTGACCTACAGGACGGCCTTACTCCAAGGTGCCTGTCGCTGGACTACTAGTTGCTGAGGTCGTTCTGTTGCTGATTATTTTGTGGTGGCATGAATGCACCGAACTTCTCCTCCCATGCTCACATCTGCAGATTCATGCTTCAACTCATAAAACTACCATGCTTCAATCCCGGCAGGAACCATTGATGGCTCTACCGCGGGGAGAGGGGTGTTCACATGAGGTAGCAGTGTGCTTGTCTGGGGTAATGGGAATGTTGGGTTCGGCACAGTTGCTATTCCAAGAAATGCTAGGAGCACTCAACTTACTTGATGCTCTTGCCCTCTATAACTGATGCTCTTGCCCCCTTCAACTGATACTTCATTCTTGATGTTGATGCTACTCAAAAATGTCATTGAATTGATAAAGGTGAAAACTAGAAGGTGAGAACTTAGCTTTTTGTTGCGTTTCCCACAAACGACACCAATTGGTGGGGCATGATCTAGTTGCTCCTACCTGGATGGCAACTCGGATGCCGGTTGCTTAGCTGGCCGATCAAACTACAAAGAAGAATGCTCAGAGAACCCGGGGTGGCTTACCTAGCGTGGTCACTCCGATGCTTAAGTTAGTATCTTAATGTTGTAAGCTGAAAGCTTTAGAGTAAGAGAACTAGATTGCACTAAATCATGCATACCTTGTGTCATTGGAGTTGGTGCCTTTATATAGGCTTTGTTTGGCATGGGTTTCACGCATCATGTCCGAGGTCTCTGGGAAGACGTGCCTAACTTGTCTGAAGTCCTCGAAGGTAGCCGTGCACGTAGACCAGTCTTTGCGCCTTGTTCGGTTTCCTCCAGAACATTCGGTGCGGGGGCCAACTTCCGAGAAACTCGGGAGTGATGAGATATGCATGCAGAATTGGTCAGTGACCACATCTCGTAGGTTACCATCTAGACCTCAATCAATTCAGCAAGCCCTCGAAGGGGGTCACTCCTCATCAAGGTCACTTCGACCGTACTGATGAGGTACCATAGGTTGGCCTTGGTCGAGGTGTTGCAAGCCGCCCTGAGTTGTGGACGAGGTTGCCGACTAGATTTCCACTAGGTCTGCAAAGGAAGGTCACCAAGTCGAACTCCATCACTTTGGTTGAGGCAAGTCATCGCCTAGGTGGTGTCGGGGTGTCATTTAGTTGTTCTGAGATGCCATGTGTCATGATGTCACTAGAGGGTCAAATCTGCCCTCATCAGTTCCCAATTAAAAAAAAAATGGTTAAAAACCATTGAACGGGTCAATGGGTCGACAGTTTGATTGCCCGGATCAATGGATCATTGATCGATTCAACGGTTTTTGGCCAGGGACCAGAATTGGGGTAAAATGGAACTGGTTGCCTGGACGATTCCTAGGCTGAAATGTTTGTCCGTTTAGGTCAATGGTAGTTCGGAAACCATGGTTTTTTATGCTTTTGGATTTTCACTATTCAAAGTTTTCTTCTACTATTGGCTTTATTTGAGTATGTACGATCTAGGGTTTACTACATTTTATTTCTTCCCTTTTGTTTTTTCTTTGGATTTTCTTGTGCAATGTTTTTTTTTTTTTTACTTTCTTCCAAGATGATCTGCTTTGTCTCTTTCTTTGATTGCATGTATGTTTAGCTTTGTCTCAAAGCGGAACTTTGGACTCGATTTTCTGATTTTTTTCCTTGGCTTTTCCAGTTTGGTGGATTTACCGCCATTTTTTTTTTTTTGCGCTTAAGGTCACTTTGGATTTTTATCTTTCAAGGTTTTGGAATCCCTTGCAATGTCCACCCTTCCCATGACCATGACTACAAAGTGATTTCGTCTAATTATTGACATCTAGAAAAAACGACCCAGAAACGGAACCATTCTGGCCACCAGTTTCTAGGTTGGCGGTTCGACCGTCCGATTCGAATGGATGGCCCATTTTGACAATAAAAAAATAAAATGGACAAAATGGACAACCGTTGAATGGGTCAACGGGTCGATGGTTCGACCGCTTGGGTTAATGGGTCGTTGACTGATTCAACGATTTTTTGCCAATGACCGAGTTTAGAGTAAAACGGAACCGGATGCCTAGACGGTTCTCAGGCCAAACGGTCCTAGTGTTTGAGTTAACTGGGAGTTCTCGATGTGAAACAAAGGATAACTATGAAGTAGAACTCAGAACTATCGTTGTATGATCGTATTCTTTTATAAGAGATCCTTTGCTGAAGCAATATTTAAAAAACAAGCACATAATTATCTCTTTTAAGTTTTTCCAAGACTTGAGTACCTATAATTGCAAGTTTCTTATTAAGAAATCATTGTCTTTTTTAATATAGCAAATAGCAATATTGCAATTCCATTCCAGCCCCTATGAAGCAGGGACCCCTCCGCTGGTTACAAGTTGAAAAAACATCATTTCTCGTAATGTCATAGAGATAATCTTTAACCAACCACTTTACCAGAACTTGCTATCCTTTTAGATCTACTCGGCATACAATTCACATTTCCCATCTCCATAATTACATGATGACACATATTTTGCTGATTTGATGATTTCTTGATTAGGGCAGATCCTAGTTTTGATAAATGACATAACTCTCGTCAATTTAACAAGGGAAAATTCCTAATTAGTACCCTGTACTTGGGGTCTAGTGCTATTTTGGTTCCCGAACTTTAAAATGCGATAATTTATCCGAATTTTTGAAATGTGACAATTCAATACCTACCGTTAATTAGTTGTTAACTAGTCATTAAATGGCATTTGAAAAAGACATAGATGCCTTTCAAGTGTCATTTAATTTTGTTTATCAACCATCTAAACGTTGACAAAAAATTAACAGTCTCAAATCCTTGCCTCTTCCATTCAAGAAAGTTGGGGTCACATTTGAGTGGACATTCTGGTGACCTCAACTTTTTTGAATAGAAGAGGCAAGGATTTTGGACTATTAATTTTTTGTCAATGTTTGGATGGTTGATAAAGAAAATTAGATGACACTCGAAGGGCATTTGTGTCTTTTTCAAGACACTTAATGGCTGGTCAACAATAAATTAATGGCAAGTACTAGGTTGTCACACTTTAAAAGTTCGGTTACTGAATTGTCGCATTTTAAAGTTTAGAGACCAAAGTAGCACTAGGCCCAAAGTATAGGATACTAATTGGGAATTTTCCCATTTAACAAGTGTGTGGGACTGGGCTGGGCCTATTGGAGTGCATCTTTGGTCTATTCAACAAGGCCCAAGGGTGAGACTAGTTTGCTCTTAGTAAAAAATTAGGACGTCCTCTAATCATAACGTTTTTTTATCTTTTTTTTTTTCATTCATATTTTAGAGAAAATTTCACTTAATACTTTGAATTGGGGGTAGTGTGAAATTAGTACCCAAACTTTTAAATGTGTCATTACAGTACCTAAATTTTCAAAAAGTATCAAATTGGTCCCTGTCAACCAATCATCAATTATCTATTGAAAATGTTAAAACTACCCTTCAAAAGAAGGCATAGTTCATTGTCTTCTACCTTGAGGCCGAACCAATTATCTTTAAAGAAAAAGAAAGAAAAAACATAAAATATGATAGAAAAAAACAATAACTGAAAGTAAAGAAATAATTGAACAAGATTGTATTTCAGATCTAAACGTAGAAGACAATGACTTCATTAGTGTAGAATCTCAAACACCTTAACCCAATTCAATCTACAGTATCTTGTTTTCAAGGATAGTTTTGACAATTTCAATAAATAATTGACGGTCGATTAACCGCATTAAGTTAGGTATAGACCTGTTCATGGGCCGGGTTTTTACTATTCATTAACAGAAATATGTTAGGCCCGAGCCCGAGCCCGGCCTGACCAACGGGCCTACAACTTGGGCCCGAGCCCGGCCTTAATAAAAAGCCCGAAGCCCGAAGACCGACCTAATAAAAAAAACTAGAAATTTTCCCTATTCAATAATCAATATAAATCAGAATTTATTTACATTAAAAAAATATATAAATTCAAAATTTATTAATATTAAAAAATATATATAAAGAAGGGAAAAATGATGTGGAGAAGAAGAATTTGGTTGGAAAAAGAAGGGAAAGAGGTGAAAAAAAGAGGGGCATTCAACTAGGTTTTCTAGGTTTATTTATAAGTCGGGCCGGGCCGGATTCGGGCCGAGCTATTTTGGAAAATCACAAGCCCGGCTCGAATTTATTGCGGGCCTGGCTTTTTGGCCCGAGGTTAAGCCCGCGGGCCTATATACCTGTTCAAGCTCGTCCGGGGACCGGGCCGGCCCGGCCCGGCCCGTCGGGCCACCCGGCCAATGAACAGGTCTAGTTAGGTACTCCACTGACATGTATGAAAGTTCCGGTACTAAATTGACACTGCCCTCAAAGTTTAGGTTAAAGTCTGGATAGCATATAGCATTTGTTGGGTCATTTGCATCTGCGATGAGCGAAAAGGAAGAAGAGAACGGAGTGACGGAAGAGGCGACTCAAATGGCCGTGGAATCTGAAGAAGTCCAACAGCAACAACATCAAGAGAGTGAGATGGTCAAGAAACCAGATAAGATGAATATCTCCTTAAGCATTTGGCCTCCAACCCAGCGCACCCGAGAAGCTATCATCAGCCGCTTGGTAGAAACCCTATCTGCCCCTTCTATGCTCTCCAAGCGCTACGGCTGCGTACCCGCTGAGGAAGCCGCTTCCATTGCTCGTTCCATTGAAGAAGATGCCTTCTCCACCGCCGTGGCCGCCCATTCCTCCACCCCTAAAACTGCCGATGACGATGGGGTTGAGATTCTTCAAGTATACTCCAAAGACATCAGCAAGAGAATGCTCGAAGCCGTGAAATGCAGAGCCACCGCTGCTTCTCCCAACGAAAACCCTTCGCAGGGTCCGGCCGCTACCCCCGCAACCAGTGAGGAAATTTCACCTGCCAAAATCGAATCTTCGTAAATCTTATTGGTTCTTTTATGTGTTAGGCTTTATTGATATTGGAGTCATGGTATTGAACTGATGTTATGTTGAGATCTCTTTGTATAAGTAATGGATCTCTTTGGCTTTTTATATTTTGCTACAGTTAATAGATTGTGTGGACCTTTTAGTTCAGGGATGAATATAAATAAGGAGATAATGGTTTGGGAAACATATAAAAGAAAAGATCGGTGGTTGTGAATAATTCAAGTGTTTAATTCAGCTATTTTGGTCCCTGTTCTGCATCACCTTGCTTAATGTAGAACATGGATCTAAACATTAACGGTTTTTTTCCTTAATTTAAGATTTAATTCCACTTTTTGAGGGTAATTAGGAGTCAATATATCATTATAGAATGAAGAGTTGTCTCTTTTGATTCAAGAGTAACAGAGACTGATAAAATAAGGAGTTAGGAAAGATGATAGATGTAGGGGAAAATAAGAAAGAGTAGAAAATTTGAGAATGGGAGGGGGAGTATTGAAGATGAATTGGTAGAAAATTAGAAGGGGACGCAAGAAGAAAACTTGGTGGAGGAAGGAAGGGAAGGAGTTGGTGGGGAAGGAGAAGGGAAAGGAATTAATGGGGGAAAGGAAAGAAAGAGGAGAAGTGATTAATAAGGAGGTAGAAGTGAGCAAAGATAGTGAAAATACCCAAGTTTATAAAAGAAAGAAAATACATAGAACAAAACCTCTTACAGATATGGAAGAAGAAGGAGAAGAAGCTTTGGATGGAAATTCCCAAGAAGAGGAGGTGTTTGTAGATGAAACACACACTGTACAGGGAGTGATAGAATTAGAAGAAGTGGTTATTAAGGAGGTAGAAGTGAGCAAAATCATTGTTCATCCTCAATCACTTTTGTCCTTGGGGTTGAGGATTTTGCAAGAAGAGCATTTAGAGAACTTGAAGAAAATGGGGTCAATTTGAGATGAAAAGTGATTGAGGAAGGAGAGGTGGAAACTGGGAAAGACTTGATGAGAAATGTGGTTCGGAAAGGTGAGTTGGGTTTGAGTTGATGGTAAGAGTTTGGTATTGGGAATTTAGGTGAAGATATGGGGTTTCTATTGTAAGGAGTAGTTTTTCTAAAGCTCTGGTTGGGGTAGAATGTTGTGTCCAAAGGTTTTTTCCTTTCCGAGAAGTGAAGTTGGTTTTGGGGGGGTTGATTTTTTCTTTTTTGTGGGTTATATCTTATCTCCATTGATGTACTCTATTCTCTCATCTTTTTCTTAATAATTTTTTATTTATCTAAAAAGTTAGAAAGTAACAATGAGGAGAATAAAGTCTTTTTTTCCTTTTTTGTATCCTGAAGTTCTTTTCTTTTTTATTTTGGATTGAGATTTTGGTGAAGATTATGTAGTTTAAAACCAAAGTTTAAAATGTCTTGAGCATGCTTATTTACATAGTTATTTTACCTCTTTCCTATGGAATAGAATCCAAAAGTTTAGGTATGCATGATTTCTTGGTGCATCAACCTCTAGAAATAGAAAGCACATGGATATTCAGTGGGTGATATACAAAGGGGCTGGTCAGCAGTGGCAAACTCTTCAACTAGACAACCTGTCATGCAGCCCTCTTTTTTTTTTTTTTGATAAATCTGTCATGCAGCCCTCTTGGACACCAATAACACAACAAAGGGTAAAATTAAATTTTGATGGAAGCTCCATGGGTAATCCAGGACCCTCGGGAGCTGGGGGAGTCTTTAGGGATGGGGAGGGCAGAATGGTGGCACTATACTCTGGTCCCATAGGAGTGGGAGACTCTTTGAGAGCTGAAATTTTGGCTCTCCTACAAGGCCTGAGATTTGCTAAGCAATGGGAATTTCAGAACTTGGAGGTGGAAGGAGACTCTAAATTGTTAATAGGGTGGCTGTAAACAAAGAAATTAGGTGTATGGAAGTTTAGATAGCAAATAAGGGAAATAATCTGCTTGGCAAGGGAAGTTGGAGGAACATTCAAATGGGTAAGGAGATCAGCAAACTCTGTGGCAGATAGCTTGGCAAAACAGGGGACTTTCAAGGAAAACTTATTTTGGGCTGTACTGTAATCCTTGATGTTATTTTGGGGTCAACACTCTTTGTCTRAGTGGTTGATAGTGTAAGATGTTTATTTAATTTCCTTAATGAAAGTTACCGTTTCCAATAAAAAAAAATGAAATAAGTTTTGATATACTTATTTTTGTGGGAGCCTGAAGAGGAAAAGAGGGATCATAGGGTTAGATGGGAAGTGATAAGTAGAAGCATGGATTCAGGGGGCCTAGGAATTGGGAAATTTCAAAAGTGAAATATGGCTTTGTTGGGAAAATGGTTGTGGAGATTCCCGGTGGATCAAGAAAAACTGTGGACAAAGGTGATTAAGAGCATACATGGGCTGGTGGCTGATGGCTGGGACACTGAAATTTTGGCCTGAGCAATTACTGCAACTCCTTGGAAAGCTATCCATGCCATCCTTGTTTTCTACTATTTGTCAGGTATACTTGTGCTCTAGAAATTCGGTGAGATTTGGGGAACATGTTTGGGTGGGGGAGGTATCACTTAAAGACCATTCCCTTCCTTATTCTCCCTTTCTACGAACAAAAATAAGCTTGCCTTTTACCTTTATTTCCTTCATTGGTCAAGGGCCTGAGCTTAATTGGGATTTGGGGTTTAGACGAGGTCATAGAGAGTCAAAGATGGAAATGGTGTGGTCTTTGGTTTAGATACTTCAGAAGGTTTTCTTGGACCCTTCTAGGGTGGATTCTCGGATTTGGACCCTTACCTCTTTGGGCTCCTTCACTTGTGCCTCTTTTTTCAATACCCTAACACAACCTACTTCTACTCCTACCAATCACTTTCCATATAAAGAAGTGTGGGGGAGACCGGTCCTTCCTAAGGTTGGAGCACTGTGCTGAGAAATAGCTCTGGAAAGAATTAATACTTGTGATCAAATTCAAAGAAAGAAGCCTTTTTGGTACTTTTTCCCGCATTGGTGTACCATTTGTAAAGCCAATGGTGTGTCTTGCTTTCACTTACTAATATCCTGCCCCTTTGCTTCTTCTACTTGGGAGTGGTTTCTCTCTTTATTTGGTTGTAGGTGGACTCCACCTGCAAGGCTGCAAGACTTAAAGCCTCTTCTTCTATTCAGTTGGTAGCCGGATCAAAAAAGGGGGAAGAATCATGCGAAGGTGCACCAAGGCAGTGGTTTGTTGGATAATTTGGGAGGAAAGTAACCAAAGAATATTTGCCGAAAAAGAAAGAAGCAAAAAGACAATTATAGAAGTGATTACTTTGAGGGTGGCACAGTGGGTAAAGACAGTGAGTTTATTTGATGATATTCCTATAGAGACCATTGTGAACAACTGGCAGGAAATGGCAGCCTTAGCTCCAAGCAGAATCATTGTTCATCCTTCACGGCATCCCCCAGTGGAGGGCTTTATCAAGCTCAACTTTGATGGGAGCAGTGAAGGAAATCCAGGGCCATCAGGGGTTGTGGTGTTTTCAGATTGGAGACAGGGTCAGTAATAGCTCTTTTTTCAGGTCCAATTGGGTTTGGAGATTCTTTGAGAACAGAAACTCTGGCTTTGTTAGAAGGGGTGAAAAGGGCTAAGGAGCTAAATATAAACAGGTTGATCATTGAAAGGGATTCACAAGTAGTAATTGGCTGGATAGAGAAGGCAAATGATGGGTTATGGACATCCATTAATGAACAAAAGGCAATATGAGTGGTTAACACAAGGAATGGGAGTGCGTCTCCAGTTGGCCAAACAGGGGGTGGGAAGAAGCCAATAGTTTTGGGCTACATTGTAATTTTCTTTTGGAGGAGAGTTAAGAGAGTTTACCTCCCCCACCATTGTATTTAACTGTTTTACTGATTTATTAATGAGAATCCTCTGTTACTGATAAAAAAAATACTTATTTTCATTCTGTTATTTATAATTAACACCTTGTCTAAGAGGTCTAGGTGCCAACATTTTTTGCTGATTTCAGCTTGAGCAGCATCAGCATGTTGCAAGGAAATTCGTTACAAGTATCGACATGGATAGACCCATTTGGTTTGGGTATCATATTTGGGTTTCAGCATAATGGTATTGAAAATATTATCCCTGTGAATTGGCCTGGAATTTAGAACTAGTCCTCAGAAATCCAAACTAGATCCAATAGATAATTATTGAATAGATATTTTAGGAGCTAAGGTTAACTCTTGGGCATCAAAAGAGGTGGGAATGCTTACTGGAGTACCTTATTTTAAGCGCCTTCAGGGTTTCAAATCTAAGTGGAAACCGACAAATAATTTGGGATAGATTTTTTCTTTACAAGGTCTTAGTTATGCTGAGATAACCTGCATAGTAGTTCTCTTGTTGCAAATTATTGTGTTGATTTTGCTGAAGGGCAATATTGGCTTAATTCCTGGCATGTAGAGTTGACTTAGCATTATCAATTTGTGTGCACCCATTTGATGGACAAGTCCTTGTGGAGTGAAACAAATATGTTTTACAACATTTCTCAAAAGAATGTTTTACAACAATTTGTCTTTATTATTTGGATGGGTGTGCCAAAGAATATGGTAGCTAAGATACATTTACATTTTTTTGATAAGTAATAAAATACATTTGTGTCGCCCTTATGGTTACACTATATAATGCCTTCATATTGCATTCACCAAATTCTGGTTTAATCAAGAAATCTCTTAAGCAAGGTGGGAATTCTTTGTCCCAAGGTTTTTTCCTCAATGAGAATGTTGGCCAGGACATTCAGATAGCATCATAGCACTTGACTATGGAACTGTCAAGAAGTTCTCGTTGAACCACAGTTCATTTGCTGCATATAGCATCACACCCATGTGAGGAAGTAATCTCATAAGCAAAAAGGGGTTGTTATGGATGTATCTGAGACATGCCTTTTATTTGATTTCACAATTTCAGTTGTTATTAAGAGTTGAAATATAGACATTTGAGTGAAGATCAAATTCCTTTGAATCTCCTTAATGTTGCAAAATTTACTGAATGATTATGCTCTTTGTTGGTATGATAGAAGAAGAGAATTTTTGCCAGTAATAGTTAGACAAATTTTTCAGTGATAAACATTACATTGAATGCTTTGTTGACTCTTGACTTCAAGAAATAACTAACTGAATAAATGTTAATCAACAAAATAATACTCTTGAAAAAATAAATGTTAATCAACGAGGTACTTCTCTTTTTATTTTTAATGAATTTATTCTTTACTCTTTCTAAAAAAGGACAACCAGGAACATTTTCATGAGAGACGATGAATGGACAAATTTGATTAATGAAAAGAAAATTGTACACCAGAGGAAATTCGAGGTGAGAAGAAAGAATAAATTTGAGTTTATGACAAGGACAGGAAGTTCTTGAAAGGCACGGCTGAACCATCAAAAAAAAAATAGTGCTTCTTTCATCTTTAAGTGATTTTGTATTAGATTATGCATGCTTTTTTAGCTTGAACGACATATGGTTTTCTTTGAAGGGTGGGATAAGGCCTAAGGGTCCCTACCAATCTCATGTTTTGCATATTTAGTAGGCTTTGATTATGAATTGTTGCCAATGGTCCATCATGGTTATCCCTAATGCATTTGACCTTTTATATGAGTTCTTGGGTTAAATTGATTTGAAGAAGAGCACTCCTGGCTGAGTATATTTTGTGGTTTGCATTCATCATGATCAATATTACTTTATATTTGGCTTATTCGTTTTGTTGCAACTGGGTGCCTGGTAGCTCATTTCAATTACACACCTTGTATTTGACCCTTCAAAAGGTACATTTCATGAATCATTTGCTCATTGTGCGTGTGGCTACAAGAGTTTGCTGTTATGAGTGAATAAAGTTTCCTCATAGGGTACTTCAATTTAGGGTAGCACATTTATGTTTCTTAAAGTTCAAGAGGCATACACCAGAGTTCTTCCCAAGGGTTGGGACAAGAAAATCTTCCACCTTGTGCACATTCTTAAGATAGCTTAATAAGAAACTTGTTTCTTGTTATTCCATCATCTGGCTATATTGTGTCACTGTATCTATTCT